AGGATGTCAATATTGAAGAAGTGAGACTAGAGCCAGCCAAGGAATTTGAGGATATAAATTTTGTTGACTCTAGTATCATTGATGTTGAGGATGTTGAAAGTCCTGAAGTTCATGTGTTTGAGCGCATTGGTCCACACTCCAAGCATTTTTCCACATTATGTTTGGATGATGATATGGAAATAGAGTCATCCGAACCAATTGAAGAGTCAAGGAATGAGGAACAAGGTGCATATATTCTGGAATTCTTTTTGCCAGAAAGTCAGGATTACATACCTCATACAGAGGCCAAGAACCGTAGAATAATACAATGGTTGCTTGGGCCAATTGGATTTGTTCCACCACCCCTGGAGCATAACCGAAAACTTGAAGCCAAATTGGGGGTTCAATTCATAAGCTCGAGGTGGAGGCAAAAAAGTAATTCGCGTCGTGCCGCGATGTTAAATCAAGCGCTTGTTGGAAGGCAACCCAGCTTTATTGTTTTTTTATTTTTTATTATTATTTTTAATTGTATTATTTTTGTAGTGTCAATTTTTTATTTTATACGAGCATGGAAAGCAAAGCTATTGGAAGAATGCAACCGCAAACTAGATGGTTGGAACTAAGTGTGAGGTACTCGCACGAAGGACCAAGCTTGGGAGAAGTCTGGGTACCCCATGAGCTAGCAGTGCTTCAGCCTTTGGGCTAGCAGGGAGTCTCATTTGCCCTTTTATTAGTTATGGTGTGCGTTGGGGACAATGCACAATTTTAAGTGTGGGGTGAGGAGATTGTCTGGGTGACTTTCTATGCTATTTTAGTTGTGTTAGTTTAATGGAATATTTATTTATTTATTTTTTTAGAAAAACAAAAAAAAAGATTGGACTTTTCCCGACGATGGATCTATTAGACAATTTTCTTGAGGGATTTAAGTCTAAAGAAAAAAAAAGGACAAAAAAATTTTCTTTGTAGGTAGTGTAGTAATTCCCCCTTGGTTTTTTTTGTGCCGCGGTTCTTTTCCAAGGGTTTTATTTTAACCGGGTGTAGTTAGTCTTTTTTTTAGGAATAGGAGCCGTTGTGTTGTGTTCTGAAATGAAGCAATATCTCTTGACTTTGATATGCCTTGAGAATAGTGAGTACTCTAGTTGTGACGCTTAGGCTCAATTTTTGACTTTTTTATAAGTACCTTAAATTGTATGATCTTAACTTTGCTTAACTGCTTTGACTAGAGTGTCTTGATGAAACCAATCCTGAGTGAGTTATGTGCCATGTGTGTGTGAGGTTTGGGTGTTATTCTATGCATTGCATTTGATTCCTAGAACTTGCCCCGTGTGTTTGCAAAGCGAAATAGTGGTTTTGTTCAGTCTTGGAAGTGATATAGGCGTTTCTTTGTTGAGCCAGATATGTATATTTTACCCGCCTAACTATTATGTACCGTAGTAATCCTATTTCTTTGGTAACCACATTACAAGCCTTACCCATTTGTTTGAATTAACCATCTCTTTGAACCATTGTAACCTCTCACGAGCACTTGAATTGTTTATGAACTGTGTAAAAGTTAAAGTGTGGGGTGGCTGGTTTGGCTTTTGAGTGGAACTAATGAAATAAGGAGAAATGAGCACTGTTTTGAACAAGTAAGAGCCACTTGAATTGGAAAAAAAATAGTTGTATTGCTGTGAAAAAAAGAAGTATTCCTTGATAAGTGGTGACTCTTGATGTAATTGTGCTTAAAGAAGTATGGGGTAATATACATTGAGGTGAAGGTGGAGTTTGGTTTGACATAAGTATGTGGTTTGAATGTTAAAGTATATGTATTAAAGTGCTTAGGGAGGTGTAGTCACTTTTATATCTAAATGTATCCTACCCGTCCCGCAGCCTACATTACAACCAAATAAAGTCCTACTTGATCCTAGACTGAATGAGCTCGATTAGTAGAGTAGTACACTACGGGCAAGCCTATGGTGCATCTTTTGTGGCATATGAATGTTATTTCTGAGAGTGAGTGAATTCTTTCTATCTTGAGTTCCTAAGTGTTCTTAAATTATATTGTGTGGAACTACTCTCTTTTGTTGTGTGAGGGCACTTGATTCATGAAGGAGAGGTAATGTCATTGACCTCTATGTTAGAGTAAGTGGGTGAGTTGTGAATAATGCGTGGTACTTGCGAGTCAAATCTTGAGGTGAAGATGTTACGCTTTTGTGCTTAGTCTATTTTAAGTATTCTTGGTGTGACGAGTTAGGAGAATTGTTTAAAAAGGTCGTGTCTATATAAAGTGTAGTTTGAGTGCTCGAGGAAGAGCAATGGTTTAAGTGTGGGGTGCTGATGATAGGCTATAATTACGTATTTTAGTCGATGATTACACTCTAATTTACTGCACTTTAGTTGAGTTTGCGCTTTAATCGCTAGTGTTTTGCACTAACTGTATTTTTTATGCCTTGTAGGATTGATTTCGAGCTATAAAGATGTTATGGAATGAATTCAAGTGATTTAGAGCTTTGAAGTCTGAGTAAAAGCCCAAGGAATTAAGCTGGGATCGTGTTCAGGGGTCAAATTTAATAAGTAAGAACAAACGAAGACTCGAGTAGGCATATTGCACACTGTCTAATAAAATAGACATAACTCTTTGCTCCAAACTCCGTATGGGCAATGTAATATATGGATGTAAAGCTAACTCAAAGGGCTACAACTTTCATGATTTATGTTTTCCCAAATTCCATATGTAACAGGGTGAAAAATATGGTAGAAACCGCAATAGCGGACCTGGACGCGGACTGAGGTAGTGCACTGGGAAAATACCGCGCCCGGACCGCGACCGCGAGCGGTCCAGACCTAAAAAATTGTCCTTTTTCGCGTAGGAGAAGGTATAACTATTTGGGCCCGGCCCTACTTGGTATATATACATGGGAAAATGGTATTTCGAGGAGGTTGGACATACTTTTAACATAATTTAGACCTAATGAGGCTAAGGAGACTGGGGATTCGACCTAAGGAGGCAAGAACACACTGGGAATGAGACGGAGAATTCTTCCACGAGTTTTTCACTTCCTTCTTCCTATTTCCTTTATTGGTTATGAATTCTAGTATTGTATTCTTGCATACTATTATGAATAGCTAATTTGTTATAGATTTTTGATAGAACCTTTTGTAAGATGAATTCTTGTTATATTTTTATATAATTAAGCCGTTGGATTTCTCTACTTGTTCAACTACGTGTTTGTTGTTGTTGATTGAATGACCATCAATTTACTGTGCCTATTTAGTGTGTACTGCTCGAGAAAGAGTACATATTTAGGTAGTTGTTGAACAACGTCACTCCTAACGTATGTGAGAAATCAATACAGCGGGTTTAAAGGTAGGTTTAGAAATAACAAAGCCTTGACGTGGTCACAATGAGCGGTTAGATAAAGCCAACTAGCGTAGTACGAGGGAATATGTCTAGTAAATTGTTGTAGTTGCTCGAGAGAGAATTACGACACCTAAAGTGCTCACGATCAGTAGAGAATACATTGCAAAATTATAGGGAACATAGCTAGAAGGATTCCGACAATTGGGGAAATCATAACTCTAGACTCCTTAATTTAGTCTCCAACCCTTTGTCTCGTTAGTTGATAATTTTACCGCTTTGTAGTATTTGCTAGTTAATTAGTTAGAAATATAAATCTCAATCTTTATAATTTAGAAAATTGTTCAAAATTGTCTTCTCAATGATATTAAACAGATATAGCTAGGCCTTAGTTCTCTGCGGGATTCAACTCCGGACTTTTAGACCGGATTATATTTGTAGCGACCGCTTATCCTTTTTAGGACTAGAGTTGGGCGTGATCACTGCTGCTCTGTTCCACACTTTGAGGTTGATTAAATTTAGTCCACCTGCACTCTTAGGTGTACATATTTTCTCCCAAGCCACTAGTGATCTTCTTATGATGACATTCTCTCCCGACCATATATACATAGCTCCTGGAATTTGCTTCGATTGTCTTCAACACTTTGCTAGGTATCCGGAACAGCTGCGGCCAGTAAGCTTGGATGCCAAATAGGACAGATTGAACTAACTGTATCCGACCAGCGTATGAAAGCTTTTTTGCAGTCCATGATGAGATTCTTGCTACCATTTTCTCAATGAGGGGTTGCCATTGAGCTATTGACATCTTCTTGGTCGACAGTAGGACTCCTAATTACTTGACTGGTACTTCACCTCTGGCATATCCAAACTTCTGCACTATCTCTTCTCTTACCACTTATGTTACTCCTCCAAAGTAGATTGAGCTCTTCTCTTGATTAGCTTTCAATCCCGAGTCCTCATAAAATTGATTGAGGCATTGTTGTAGATGAGTAATTGAAAACCATATCACCCCTTGCAAAGAGCAGTAGATCATCTGCAAAGCTAAGATGTGTAATTCCCAGTTTGGAACATCCGGGATGATATTTGAAACCACATTTCTTTTTCAATCCATTTAAGCAACGACTCAAGTACTCCATAGCAATTGCAAAAAGGAAATGGGACATAGGATCTCCTTGTCTCAATCCTTTAGCTGCTGGGAATGGTTCTGAAGGTTCCCCATTTATAATTATAGAGTAGCTCACAGTTTTCACACAAGCAAGCACCCACTGTTGAAATCTGCCAGGAAATTCCAGTTCTACAATCACTTGTTCTAGAAAAATCTATTCCACAGAGTCATACGCTTTTGTTAGGTCAATTTTGATCATACACTTTGGGGAGGAGTTCTTCCTTGTGTATGCCTTAACAAGCTCATGAGAGAGAATTATATTGTCGGCTATTTTCCTCCCAGGAGTGAATCCTGCTTGAGCTTCACTTATCACACTTGCAATTACTCTTTGCGATCTGTTTGCTAGTATTTTAGATATGATCTTATATAGGACAGTGCAGCAAGCAATAGGTCTGAATTCCTTTGTTGTAGTTGGGTTACTCACTTTAGGGACAAGTGTGATTGATGTGCAATTTATAGCTTTGTAGAGCCTACCAGTAATGAAAAACTCCTGGACTGCTTGCATTATCTCTTGTTTCACTATAGGCCATGCCTTTTCAAAGAAGCATGAATTGTAGCCGTCAACCCAGGGGCCTTGTCCTCATGGATAGCACATAAACCCTCATATGTCTCCTCCTCTGAGACTTCTGCAACTAAGCTGAGTTGTTGATCATTAGTGAGTTTAGGACTATTTTGCATAGTCTCTTTGTTGATTGCTGGTAAGGACTTAGCAGAAGATCCCATTAGATTTTTGTAAAAGTTGATGAACTCTTCTTTGATGCTAGCAGGATTAGTTAGCTTCCTTCCCTCCATAGTTGTAATCTCCAGGATCTGTTTCATGTGGCTTCTTTCTTTCATGATAGCAGAGAAGTACTTAGTGTTAGCATCACCTAGAGTGATCCACTTTACCCTTGACTTTTGCTTCAGAATACTCTCTCCAATTAATGACCATTTCTCTAACTGCTGAAGTGTGTGTTTCTCTTGTTCTAGAAGGTTGTTAGTGTAGTGTTGTTGCATCTTCTCCTGTACTGTAATGAGATCCATCCTAGCATTCTCAATTCTCTGTATTATGACCTTATATTCTTCACTACTAAGCCTTCTAAACAATGGCTTAAGGGCTTTAACTTTTTTCCAGACGTCCTCCATTTTATCCTCAGCCAATCTCCTCTTCCATATGCTCTCCACCATTCTTCAAAATCCTTATGAACTGCCCACACATTACAAAATCTAAAAGGTGATTTGATATTGATCCTTACAGATTTTATATTGAGCAACATAGGTGAGTGATCAAATATCAGTGGAATGTCATACTCAGTGCAAACATTGCCCCAGTTTATCATCCACAAATCATTGCCAAATACTCTATCAATCCTGCTAAGTATCCTATCAGCTCCTTGTTGTTTGTTCGACCAAGTATAGTATTCTCCTTTCCATGGCAGCTCATTCAAAAAGAGGTTATGTATGCAATATGAGAAGTCAGCCATTTCACTCATTGTGACTGGATTTCCATACAACCCATCCTGCGTGTACAACATGGCATTGAAATCTCCACTTATTATCCAAGACTTGGCCATTTGTACAGAAATATCATTCAAACTTATCCATAGGCACAATAATTTTTCCTTCTTTCTATCCTTTCATGAAGGGGGGAAAAGGCAGTTATCATGTGACGCACAAGACAAATAGTATTTTCACGTTTTTTATTCTTAAATCTTGCTTGGGTAGGCTCATGAATAGTGAAAACAATTGGTGTGCCTAATTACAATTGATTATTATATGAAGCATCATTATTCATTTCACTTCATTCTAGACTGTTTTATTCCAATAATAAATAATTTGAAGTTTTCTAACCCTAAAAGTTCTCTGTATTTATTTTTGATAAGCAAATCTCTATATTTATAATTGGAATTTTTTCTTACCTATACCATATATGAAACCTTATTACCAAAAATGTGCATAATTCCTAAATTACCCGCCCAATCCACATTATTTCTACAGTTTTTGTACCAATCATTAAAAGCTAATTAATAGCAGTTGTATCTTCCTATTTTTGCGAGCTAAATTTTAGGAGCAGAATATTCTGAACAGATTTGGCGTGAATAAGATCATATCATATCACAGAAATCGCTCATCTTTAATTTATAAACAAATTCTGTTCGTCGAAATCAAAATATCAGTTCGTCGCTACAAATCAAACTATCAGTTCATCGAAATCAGAAGCTCAATTCCAAATTGTAGAAATCAGTTATGCAAATCTCAGTTTGTCGACTTTTTTCATCAATCCCTAATAAAAAAGTTCAAGTCAAATTGTTGAAATCAATTCTGCGATTCTCTGTTATTCGTCTTTTTTTTTTAATCCAAAAAATCAAAAAAACGACAAAATATTGAACAATAACTCTGCAACGACAAGCAATCATGTCCAAAATCCCAATCATGCTACATTTTAATGGAAATTGGGATAGTTATGGCAGATTTAGAGATTTTCAAGTTGATGGCATTGTTCTCGATGAGAATGCAAGTTACAGTATGTTGAATTGTACAATTGCAGAGCAATTAATGATTGATACTTTAGAAAAAATTGTAGAAATCAAATACATTGTGAATGAGAATTGTCCTCCAATGGAGATTAGGAACAATATGGGGGTTAGTGTGTATATGGAGACAAAAAAGGAGAATAACAATTTAGGATTGTATCCGTTACTCATAAGTGTACGAGATTTCAATATGGAAGTATGATTTTACGATAATATCTACAAAATACCTACATTTATCTACAAATAAACCACATTGTGGGATATGCTAGACTCTCCCGTCATAGAGGAATATCAAAGTGAGATTGTAGATAATTTGTAGACAAACTGTAATTAATTTGTAGATTGTAGATAATTTGTAGATATAATTGTACATACGTTGTAGATAAATATTAGATAAACTATTTTATGATTGTAAATATTTTTATTGCTGTTTGTTATGTAATTCTAGGTGAGGGCTTCAACAGATCATATCCATACAGTGATAGATGGTGTGAAGTGGTACATGAATCCTACATTATAACTACTATTAACTACAAAAACAGAAACCAAAACTCTACAATTGTGTATAAAACCAGCTCTATAATTTAAACAAATTTATCTAAAGTTTACCTACAGTGAATGTACAAATTACCTACAGTTTAAGTACCTAATATATAAATAACTACAATTTACCTACAGTTACAGGGCAAACAGGCAACACAACATCCACAATCATGTCTACATTATATCTACATTTTAGACTACAATTAATCTTGTAATGTTCTACATAAACTACAAACTAACTACAATTACACTACAAACAGTAAAATACAACAATAAAACTATTCTGTCCACAAAATATCTACAACTACAAAAGGCAGAACATCACAACTACAAATAACTTCAGCTCTAGAGCTGAAGTTCGCCAGTTACAAAACAAAAACTTCAGCTCTAGAGCTGAAGTTCGCCAGTTACAAAACAAAAACTTCAGCTCTAGAGCTGAAGTTTGTACCCAGTTTGTAGATATTTTGTAGATAAATTGTAGATTATTTGTATTCTGATTGTAGATGCTTTGTTTTCTGCTTTCATAAATAAAAAACGACTAAAACTTCTACAAATCTTCTACAAAAAGCGCAATTATGTCGAAAATCCCAATTATGCTACAATTCTGTGAATCTCCTATATGCTCTTGTTACTCCTTACGAAACTGCTATGCTAAAGCTAGAGATATGTATAGCTATGTTGAAAAATAATGGTGCCCCTGTCACCTTCAAATCTTCGGTCCGCCTCTGCTACCAGTATCCATTATCACTCAAACCACAACTATTTTATTTATAGACTTACTGCAATCTCGTCGTTTATGGCAATGAAAATAATAGAAATTGGTTAAACATGCTCAAATCCTCCACAACCTTTTTACTGGGTATGGGTAAAAGAACGTGGGTACGGGGCTGAGGAATTCGGAGAAAGAAAGTAAGGGAGGAGTGGAGATACTGGGCGGGTAACGGAAACCCTTTAATTAAGGAGTAAAAAATATCTCATTAATTATACCCTTAATTAGTTATGGTATAGAAATGGTAATTTGGTATACTAAGTGTAATTAAGTCAAACCTTAAACATTGAGGGTAAAAAAGTTTTCTATCTGGTATAGGAATGTAAAAATTCTTTTATAATTTCGTTGACTTGATCCTATAGGTTGACCCAAAGATGACCCATCAAATTGTATAAAGACGGACTATATAATGTAATACAGATGGGTCAGTTTCCAACCCAAACCCAAAAAATACAAATTTAAAGTTGGAGATTGTGAATTATGTGAATCTGAAAGAATTTAATAGTAATAGTTTATGAAAAATAAATTGCTTTTAATCCTTTTTGTTAAAGCAAAAAAGAAAAAGAAAAAGAGGGGATATAATTTAGTAATATTAGGCAGGTTAGATTATCCGTTACTTGATCCAATCTATTTTGGCTCAAACAAACTTTAAAGGAGTTGGATTGTATAACAATTTATTGATTTGACATGTTTTTACTTGTCAAAATGTGATACCTTAGGCAAATCCCACATCTAAAAAATAAGGGAGAGATAGTGAATATATGAATAAACAAATCTTAGATCCTAGTAATTGTTGGGGTTAAAAGATTGGTGAATGAGAAATGGAGGGAAGAAAGTGGAGGAAAAGTGAGCTCTCTTTTGCTTTGGAAAGAGCAATTGTCCCTCATTGGTGGTGGAAAGAAAAGTGAATGTGCTTATATTGAGAAAGCACTTATCTTGATATTAAACGGGTTGAAAAGAAGGTAAGTCTCGCGCCGTCTTCGCTCGCTCGGACCTTTTTCCCGGAATATTTCAAACGGGAAACATTCCCGCCTGTTCCAACATCCATGACTGCAGTGCCAGAAAATGGCTATAAATATGCCTTGACTCCAGAATCTTTCATTACGAAATTTGTGCATTCAGTGAGCTTGATTTTATTTCGAAATTATTTTTCAGATTCTGCTTGATTATTTCGACATTCAGTTGCTGCTAATTTTCTATTTACTGTTCAGAAAAAAGTTACTGTTTCCTTATTTATTATAGTAATACAGATTCACTAATAATAATATATTTTAAAATCGTACCGATCTTTGTCCAATCGGACAATATCAGTAGGGGGCCGGGCGATTACACCAAAACTGAACTACGTACCCATGATCAAAGGCCATGACCTCGTGACGTTTTAGTGTGTAATTGTTGAAATATTCTTCTTTTTTAGATTTTATGTGGAAAAAGGAAAGTACTGCACTTCCTTGTGCTGTTATCAGTCCAAGCCCAAAAAAACAATAGCCTTCATTATTTTCAGTTTCTAAAATTGGGAAGTTTGTTTGGCTAGTTTCTATTCTACACTTCTGCTTTCTCTCCTTTTTCTTGTCTTTTAACTCCAACCACACAAATATAAAGATAAAGTTGCTACACAATAATTGTGTTGCGAGTTTTGAATGTGTTTAAGTAAATTAAGCTCGGTAGATAAACATAAAATCTATATCTATATTATATTAAAATGAGAGTAGTTTGCAATGTGGTTAAGCCAAGTGGCAAATTAAGATGAAGCCACTTGGCAATTTTAAGACAACATAAAAAATCTATATTATATTAAAAGGAGAGTAGTTTGCAATGTGGTTAAGCCAAGTGACAAGCTAAAATGAAGCCACTTGGCAATTTTAAGACAACATAAAAAATCTATATCTTCTATATTATATAAAAAGGAGAGTAGTTTGCAATGTGGTTAAGCCAAGTGGCAAGCTAAAATGAAGCCACTTGGCAATTTTAAGACAACATAAAAAATTTATATTATAAATGAAAAAATATTTAATGAAAGTAGTAGTCCAAGATTTTCCCTAAATTGAATTTCGTTCTTTAATTAATCAAAGCCAATTATTTTAATATTTAAACTAAAATGTTCTCTTTTTGAGAATCTGTTGGACGTACACAAAGAGGGATGCAATTTTCATTAAGCAAACAAACATATTATAGCTATAGGTATCTTTACTTAAATTTGTGTATATTTCAGTTATGGTAGGTATCCTTTTTTGAGAAAGAATCAACTAAAATTTCTTTTTTGTATCTTACACATTAATTTTAAGTTGAAATAATAATTCTATATTTAGTACAAGCTTTGTATCTGACCTTATTTTCGAACA